ATCCTTAACTCTTACTATGTATTTTCATTAACTAAGGGAATTCTACTAACCTTAAATGCTCTGGAAATTATTAACAATATATGTTAAATTCTACCAATATTTCATGAATATTATATAATGACAGGTAACAAACATGTTAATAGTGGGAACATGAGGTTAATGGGATTCATCAGTAAACTGTTCTGGTGTGCTGATCTCCACAAGCTTTCATCTAAAAAGCAATTCAACTGCAGCCCTGCCTAGTTTAAGTCAATAGGTCATGCTACATTTCTCAGCAAACAAACTTATCTGAAGGAGAAATGTAGGTCTAAAATGATGCTAAGAGAGAAGAATACAAGGTATCATGAAGAGGGGACTTCTGAGACCCTCATACAGACCAAGTTCCCGAACTCAGAGAAATAAGGATAATTTCCCCTAACCACAAAATTTTTAAGAGCAAGTTTCAACTAAGCATGGTCAGCATGGGCCAAAGTGACTTAGTTGCCTTGAATATTTACCATGCACAGTATGTACTTGAAAATCTAATGCCATCCTGATGTCCAACAAACATCAAGAGATAGACCTTGTTGGGACTCTCGGGAACCATCCCTGGGGCTTGCAACAAAACTGGAGGGGAGGAGACATGTTCTTTATCTTCTCAAAGAGGACCCACTGTCTCCCTAAGAGTGTCCCCCTTTCCTATCCCTTCTAATAAACTTTGTTATCCTTTCACTAAGTCTCATGTCTTTGCCCAGAGTTTTCTCAAGGAAGAACACAAGAATCCTTCTCAGGGAATTCTGAAGCTGTCTCACTGAGGTTCTGCAAATGAATCTTCTCTGTAAGACACAGGGATAACATTGACTTTATATATTCACTTCAGGAAGTGTCTGGCTTGTTTCAATCATTAAAATGTATATTTCATAAAATAAAAACTTCATGTACTCTTTTGTCTTCTGTTTAATCCTGTCATTGATCCTAACAAGTTATCTATTTTACTAGAGGCAAACCCTATTTACAATTGTCATTTATATGGATGTGGCCATTGGTGACATATCTTCATGCCCTCATCACAATCTTTAATATTGTGTGCAAGCATTTGAATTAATATTGAAGTTGTTGTAGGTTTTATCCTGAAAATATACTTTTTTATTCTGATATGGTTTTTGACCTATTCATGCTAATTAATTTATAGAAAATATGTTTCCTGATTTGCTGAGGGCCATTGCCAAGTAGGAATGACGCATCGAAATCTCCTTGCCAGCGTACCCCATGTTAAATGGATTGCCTTGGAATTTCGCTGTTGACATTGCATGTAAGGTGACCTTGCTCAAGGACCAGGGCGGATCTGGGTTTAGAGCTGATCAGGTTTGAGGAAGTTTCCCGCTCCTTGAGTTTAAGGCATTCTGGGTTTAAGACAAGTTTAGGGTGTTCCCGGTTTAAGACAATAGGGGTTTTAGGGAAGTTGGAGGTTGAAGATTATTGCTGCTGGGAGTAGGGTGTT